GCCAGCGCTACTTCCGTCTCCACACTCGCACCAACTTTACCCAGGCGCTCCAACTCTCGTGCCATCCGGGCACCATGCTTGCCCTGCATCCACCGCTGATCAGCCTCCCTCTCCTCAAACCAACTCGTGTCAAACTGCAAGTCAAAACAACAACAACAACAACAACAACGGTTCACCAAACTTTCATCCATCCACTCCACACCATCATTTTGTAGCTAAATGCTAGTATTCTTCGACAGATACTTAACTACGCAGACCTCTTTACCCTTCCACGATTCAAGCTACAGACTGTTGACAAGGACTACGCTTGTACCATCTCTGCGCCTCGTCTTCTGGTCCTTCTGTAGGATCCTAATCACCCCACTTCTGAAATGTCATGCTGCGTAGTCTTCAGGGATGATTCGATCATTACAACGGGATCGATGTAAAAAAGGTTTACCAAACAAGCAATACCTGACTACGACCACACGGACACAGACGAAACGTACACTGTTCAATCTCGACCATTCGAAGTGACCACAATATCAATCTGAGTTTGCAGTCCACGAACGCTTTCACACGCGCGATACTTCTGATCACATTCCTTTTGCCACGAAACAATAACGACAAGATCACATCCACTAGACCTTCAGAAAATGATTCCAATTATCAATGCGCTCCACAAACAGCCAGACTAAACACGCAGTAGATTTATGCCATTGAAAGTTAAATCGCAGATGTCATGCATCGACATTTGGACTCAAATTATCCCATACTTTTATTCGTCATACTTAAAGATGAGTCTCACGACTCCAAATACTGCCCAAAATACTCACCTTGGACAACTCCGAGAGAAATATGTGAAACCTCTCGAGGTTGAGCGTCCCAAATTCATTTATGTAGCCTGTGTCGGAATAAAATGGACGTAAATACGCTCTGCAAAGCTTGTCGTCGAGGGCAGACTAATTGGCAAAGCAACTGGATAAATAAACTACGAATCGCAAGGTTTATCACGCGAACCAGCCTTATCCATGTCTTACACACACGTATGATAGAAGGCCACGTCAATTAGCCTCACTTAACGATTGCCAGCCTCATCCAAAAACAGCAATGCCACCCAGAGTCAGGTAAAAAACCATTCGATTTATCCACCACCCCAACAATAGTTCTAACAATGAAATTTCGACTTTCATGGATCGGTGATTCTCATTAATCTAGATTGATTAACTCATCACTGTACCGTAAAACCACCGACATCACCCATAAATATATGACCAACACACCCACGCCCAATGCTCACTAATGTCATACCCATGTCCCGCTAGTAGACATTCGATTAGGATTATCTCCCTTCATTGTGAGAATTCGATCACAATGCAGGGGATAGGGAATAAAAGAGGATAACTCAAGAGAACATTACCGTCCAATTTGGGAAGCACCACGTGGTAGGTGTCCCACAGGTAGAGCGTTGATTCTGCGTGGATGTGCATGTTGGGCAAGTGGGGGATGAAGTCGTTCCCCAAAAGGTACCCCATGAATATCCAATCGTCAATTATCCGCTCCAGGTCAAAGGGAAATGCAATCTCCGACTAAAATCCAAATATGCATACCTCCTCGTCATTTACTGAGCGTTTGCTCAAGTACGCTTACTAAAACACCATGAACGTTTGACAAGCACCGCA